CAATAGCTTATAACATTCGTGCATCGCACGAGTTAAAGATCTAATTATATTTTAGAATCTCTATTTGTGATAATCATTTAGGTTTAAGTTTTAAATTTCAAAATGTTGAATTTGAATTTTAAAAAGATTGTCAAACTATTATAATATAATTATTTTTAAAAATATTTATTATAGTTTTATTTATGATATAATATTAAAAACTAATTAATAAACATTAACTTTTTTAACACAGACATTCCATTAAACTATATTATAATGCTTTATTTAATATGCTAATTTATAAAATATCTTCATAAATATTTATATATGTGGAATTTTATTACAATGTTTATGTATACAAATTTATAAATATTAATTTTTTTTATTGAATTCTAAATTGTTTTATATAATTATTTTAAATTTCTATATATTTATTATAACCAATAATAATAATAATAATTCACCACGTAGCTTAGAAATTTCAAATTCAAAGAAACAATCGATTTCTATTGGTGGTGACAAACAACCCCATCACCCGCATGTAACGTTAAAAGAAAGTGATGAAAAGCCCAAAAAGGACAAGAATGCACCGTGTGTCTGAATGATAATCGTGACGTTCGTCTCTCTCTCTCTCTCTCTCTCTCTCTCTCTCTAAAACCCCCGAAAAACCAAACCCTTCTTTGTTAGTTCATCTTTCACTTCAACGCGAGATCTAATCGAACCCCTGGTATGCACTCTTTCTCACTCTTCTTTTGTTCTTTTCTATTTCATGTCTTTCAATGATTGGATTCTTCACCTCTTTTCAATTGCGTCACTTCTGCAATTATTTATTGAGTAAAAATTGGATTCTGTTGTGTTTGTTTATGGAATGCTTTATTGAATGTTTGAAGTTTTTGACTTTTGTTAGGGGTATTGTTGTTATCCATGGAGGACCCAGAAAAGGGTTTGTCTACTTGTGGAACTTCAGAAACAACACTGGTCCATGATGAGATAGTTGGTGGTGAAACCCTAGATGGGGGTCAGGTTCTGTCTTGTAATGTGCAGGGTGTAAAGAGTGGGGAGGAATCAAAATCTATCGAGGCTCGGCTTGAGGACTCTAGGGTTGTGGAATCTGAACAAGTTGGGGGAGAGAATGTACAGTGCAAATCTGAAGAAAAAGAAAATCAGAAAGATACCAATCTGATTGATCATGGAACACCGGAACATGGTAATGATCTGACCTTAGAAAATTTAGATGAACAGAAAAACATTGATAGTAACTTACGCTTACAGAGTGATGATAAAATTTTGGATCAAGGAGGGCTTGCTTGCGACAAAGTTGGAATTGAGGGAAAGTTAAGTTCAAATGGAGAACAGCCAATTGGGAATGATAATGTACAAGAAGTTGTCTGTGGAACTGAAGCTGAAATTGACAAGACCCTTTTGAATTCTGATGAAAAAAAAAGCTTCATTCTTAAAAAGTGCAATGCAAACGAGCAAATAGTAGGTGAAAATGATGTGGGTAGTGTTTCTGATGAATGCAAGGAGATGCAAGTAGATGTTGAGGATCAACAAGGAACAGAAACAAGTAAAACAATGAACCACACTGTAGATATTAAAGGTAAGATATCATTCTCATTGGTGCCTATTTTTCAGCTTAACTAGTGGTTGAAATTGAAATTGTAGTAGTAAATGAGAATGTTTTTGGTTTCCAGATAATGATAATGATGCTTGTAGCTTTCTGTTTGGGCAGGTACAGTAGTATTTGGGAGTGAGAAAAACATAGATGCTAATGCAATTGTTGAGCAAGACACTCAAATTACTGACCAAGGGAGTCATGTGCTATGGCGTGATGGAAAGGAAAAAGTTGACATTGAGTTAAATACGAGGCAAAACATTGAAGAGAGAGAAGGCGTATCTGAACAGGTTGGTTCAAATGGAAAAACCGTAAAACATGCACTCTTGAAGCCTAATAGTTCAGAAGTCATTCATCAGGCACAGTATTCACTGCCAACAGAAAAAGAAGAAGGCGAGTTTTCTCTCTCCGATATGGTTTGGGGCAAAGTGAGAAGCCATCCGTGGTGGCCTGGACAGATATTTGATCCCTCAGAAGCATCTGAGAGGGCAATGAAGTATTATAAAAAAGATTGCTACTTCGTAGCATATTTTGGTGACAGAACATTTGCATGGAATGATGCATCTCAGCTAAAGCATTTTAGGGGACATTTCTCCACAATTGAGAAGCAGAGAAGCAGTTCAGAATCATTCCAGAATGCTATAGGCTGTGCTTTGGATGAAGTCTCAAGACGAGTAGAATATGGGCTATCATGTTCTTGTACACCTAAAGACACCTATGACATGATTAAATACCAGACCATAGAGAACACTGGGATTCGACAAGAAATAAGCTTCAAACATGTGGTAGATGAATCTCTAAATGCTAACTCATTTTCACCTACAAAACTGATAGAATATATGAAAACACTATCTGAGTTGCCTACTGGTGGCTTTGATCGTTTGGAGCTTGTGACTGCTAAGGCTCAGCTGCTTGCTTTTAATCGTTTTAAGGGTTTCTCTTGCTTGGCAGAAATACAACATTGTGGAGTTGTTGACAAAGACAATTCATTTGTTGACGATGAACAAGATTTGTGTGAAGTTATTGAGCATGCAACTCCTGTAGTTAATAAAGATGATCAAGCTGGTCCTGGAAATTTTAAAAATCCTAGCAGCACCCGTCAAAAGCGTAAATATAATTTCAAGAATGCTATGCATCCCTCAAAGAAGGAAAAAAAGATGTCAGATCTAATGAATGGGACTCCAGATTCTCCGGCCGACGATTGTTCGACTCCAGATAATGTTGTTTCACCTGAACACTCCAAGAAAAGGAGAGCCGTCGATCCCAATGCCGATGACTCTGAAATGCAAGATGGGACAAAAGCCATTTCTGCTGGAGAATTCTCAAATACCACAAAGTCTTCGTTTAAAATTGGTGACTGCATTCGTAGGGCTGCTAGTCAACTCACTGCGTCATCTTCCATATTGACGTATTCTAGTGACCAGTCTCGAAAGACAGACGGAGACATTGATGGTTTTCCCGAGAATGAATTGGATGTTTCCTTCCCAACTGCCGAGGGTGATCAGATCCCAAGTGAATATTCTTCTCTAAATGATTTGCTATCTTCACTTCAGTGTGTGGCACTAGAACCCCTTGCAGGATATACTTTTCTGAATGGCATAGTGAGTTTCTTCTCTGATTTCAGGAATTCTGTAATTGTGGCTGCTGATTGGAAAGAGATTTTACGTACAAATAAATTTGGTATTAAGAGGAAGAAACCACCCATAGCTGGAACTGGATCACCTGAGGCATTTGAGTTTGAAGACATGAGTGACACATATTGGACTGACAGGGTCATTGGCAATGGCAACGAAGAGAAACCAGTACAACAGCCATCACAGAAAAACCTGAAAAAAGACGAACAACCTGTTGCTGCTAAATCACCAAAGCCAGGCGCTGCTAAGTCACCAAAGCCAGCTCAAGTTCGTAGGCCCTATAACAAGAAAAAAGTTACTGACAGCAACCATGCTGTTACTCCCGAAAAACCTCCAGGTTACATAGATGAGAATGCTCCTGCCGAGCTTGTTATGAACTTTGCCGAGTTTAATTCTGTTCCCCCAGAAGCAAACCTTAACAAAATGTTTAGGCGTTTTGGACCACTAAAGGAATCTGAAACAGAAGTTGATAGAGTAAGCAGCCGGGCAAGAGTGGTCTTTAAGAAGTGCGTGGATGCAGAAGTAGCTTTCAGTAGTGCTAAAAAGTTCAACATATTTGGATCAGTACTTGTAAATTACCAGCTCAATTACACTCCAAGTGCTTTGTTCAAAGCTTCATCTGTCGACGCAACACAAGACCAGGAAATGCTTCTCGATCTCTCCAGTTTTGACGTTAATATGGTCTAATTGTTTGGTACGTAATTTTACTATACTATTTCACACAATGTTTTAATAATTGGTACATTTTGATTGGTGCATTTTATGCTCTTCTGAATTTGCGATTGGGAAGGCTACTTTAAAACGAGCTTGTTTGTAAAGTAAGTAACAGTGTATCCACTACATTGATTTAAGGGTATATGCCCTTGTTTGTTTTAAAGACAAGCCTTCTCAAATATTCTTAAAAGAAAGTGAAACTTTTTAAGAAACATGCCAGCTGCAGAGCAATATAAAACACAATCATGGAGTGATCTAACATCAGAGCAATATAAAATAGTTTTCAGTAACTATCTTAGACTAATAAAAAATTGGGAAGATAGCAAAGGTATTGTATTTAAGGGTTTTTTAGTGGGAATGAAACTCCTGTATATATACGTACAAATTCATATATATGTTTATGAAATATGTGTGAATAAGAGAAAGAAACCTTTAAATTTCACTTTTGTACATAATAATTCACAAGTCATAAATGTTAGCATTTGGGCTAGGGCCTAAATATGAAAAAAAATGATGAAGAAGTTGGGCCCAATACTTATCATCCCATTCTAGCATAATCAGTCGGCCCCTCGAGTGGGTAGTTCCCCTCTGGTTTTCTCCCAAACCTGGAGTGGGAAATAGAGAAAATTTCTGTTTCCACCAAGTTTATGATTTCAACCGAGTCAACACAATGATTTTGCAAGGGATCAAAATCTTTAAGTTTAGATAACATTGTAAAATCAGCGATTCTACGTGATAAACCTTGATCTGAACATTCTCATCTAGTCAAAAGTTGAAGCAATTGAAAAATATAGGAAAAAGGCTTAGAATATTTTTGTTTGCACCATACATCTTGTGTGTATGGTCTGGTACAATTTTTACATTTTGTTCAAAATGACTCATAATCTAACCATAATAAATAAAATATGTGGTAAGGAGGAAAACACACCACATGTATTTTTTGAATCAAAAGGGGCATTCTACGTGAATCTCAGAATTCATGTCCATTCGAATGTGGTAACTGGTAAGGAGGAAAACACATCACATGTATTTTTTGGATGCTCTGTAGCAGAAGAAGCATGGCAAGAGATATTAAGATGGACGAAGATCAATTCTGCTCTTCACCATACAGCATTGGAAAATTACAATTTTCAAGATTGGTCGACATTGGCAGGGTGAGAACAGAAAGATTCAGTGTAATCTGGTTCGCATGCGTTTGAGTGTTGTGGAATGGTCGCAATGAAAATGTATTTCGTGACAAAATTGGATCGGTTGAATGTTGGGTAGAGGAAGTAAAATGGATAAAGAGTAAGGTTAAAGGATTTAGCTATGCGTTCAATCAGTGGATCATAAACCCACTTGGCTGCTTGGGTATCGCATCTGCCGAATAAAAGACAATGGAAGATTAGATGATCCCTATAGAGGCATTTGCATGTCTCTATTTATTTTTGAGAGTAAATGCTTAGTTTTGGTGGCTAAGACACATAACATGTGTAATTTAGTGTCTGGTATATCGGCGGAGGTTGATACTTTTTGACAGGGAAGAAATAGAGTAGACTTGAATGTACACAAGGATGATTGGGTTGATAAATATTGTTACTGAGACTAAGGTCTCCATCAGTATAGTAGGTGTGTGCATTAACTGGGAATGGTGAAGAATTTCAGTAGTGCTTTGCCACTTAAGTTATGTATGGATGGTTGTTAGTTTAAGAGCAGAACAAAGTGAGATAGATAGGTTGGCAGAGCCACTTATTTGTTCTGTTTCAGGGTGGCAATTGGAAATTTGTTATGTAACAGGTTGGCAATTGGAAATTTGTAATGTAACAGGAGATTGTATTCTATTGGCATAACTTATGCCTTTTAGTAATTAATTTTAGTTTTCGCCTTTCAAAAAAAAAAAGTACAATAACTGATATTTGTGGTTCTCATTTTAGGGAATGTTGGCAATGATATGGTGGCTTAAATTTGACCGAAGAAATTTTCACCAAGTGGCTGCTGAAGGTATTCAAAATATGTTGATGAAAGAGATATTTTAGTTAGTTGGATTCCCTTGTTGCAATCCAGTTTTCAGTTTCCTGTATAGCTTTGTCAACTGACCCTCATTTGTAGTTGCCATCACTCACTCTTCTTTCAGAATTGTTTTCATTTCTGTAGTTTGAGTATTGGTCCTGTATCAATATCAATGCTGCATATATTAGTCATCAGTGATTATACTAGCCATCCCTTTGGAGGGATTCAAATTTGTGTTAGGCAAATCAATTATATGCCTCTCTAGTTTTAAGCACAGTAGTTGTTAATTGTTAACGATTTGCCATGGGCGTAATCTTCATGATTCATTGCTTATGTTTAAGTACTCATTTGATAGAAATGTTTGCAAATCATCATTTAGGTCTCTAAAATTGTAGTTTTAACAATCTGATCTTTGGTAGACATTTACGAACAAATTTTGGTCTCTAAAATTGTACTTATGAAAAATTAATAATGCCATTAAAACTTGGGAATGCACTTTTGGACGCATCAACAATGTACACACCTCAATAAGATTTAGAAACATGTTAAAACGAAACTGAAAAAAAATCCAAAACATTTAAACCAGATAATCCAAAACTTTTGAACTAGATTCGAAGCACACTTCTATATTAAACATTTGTCTACTGTTTATTTGTGTTAATCAGAACTAATCATTTTAAGAGTTTAAGAAAATTAGTTTATCTCACTTTCACCTACTTTAAAAAGGCCTGTGTGATGGAGTTCTTGTAACATCACTGCTTGATGGTTGATTTTTTGTGATTTGGGAGACCTGATGGCATAACTAGATTTGGTGAACGATGTTGCTATGTGTAAGAGCTCTGAGGATCAATGGTGGTCTAATGACAAAGCTCCAACGAAGAATAATGTGAGTGGGAGTAATGGATAATGTATTGAAAGTTCTTTATATTAGTCTGGAAGTGTGCTTTCAGATCTAGTCTGAAAGTTAACTTCTGGATTTTTCAGCTTTGTTCGGTTTGTTTTTGAGATTTGACTGAGGTGTGTATATTTTAGTGCATTTCCGAGTTATAGGGGTAGTATTGGTTTTTTACCAAGTATGGGAGCATTACTAAGGGTGCATTAAGCATCTTCCAAAATTATTATAGATGCTACCTATGCATGATGGGATCAACAAGTTGGAGAAATTAAGAGTTTAAAAAAATTATTGCGTTGCTAGAGTTTGAAAAAAAACTTCATCTGCAGGGGCTTTTCCGGTGCCGAACACGGGCATGAAGACCTTCCATGATCATCTTTTCTTCTTTGAACAGTTCCTCTATCTCCATCAACCCCAAAGCACAAAAGAAATACCTTCCATGATCATCTTTTCTTCTTTGAACAGTTCCTCTATCTCCATCAACCCCAAAGCACAAAAGAAATTCTTTGCACAAGCTCTTTAAAATATGTGTGACATATCAATTTAATTTTATTAAACATTGCATAAAAAAAAAAATTCTTTGCACAAACTCTTTAAAATATGTGTGACATAAATTTAATTTTTATTAAACATTGCTTCAAAAGTAACTATCACTCGATCAAGATACTTGAATAGACTTATAGAGTAGGACACTTCTACACAAATAATTTATATGTGAGATTGGTTATTAATAAAGGTAACATGTCAATAAAAATATCAGAATTACGTGACAAATTTATGAAATTATGGAGTCTTTTGTACCCTAAAATTTGTCCTCTCATTTCTCAAAGGATTATCCTGGACCCTCAGGTTTGCTTCTGTCAAGTTTTAAGTCTCGGATTACAATTTTTTAAGAAATTCACTCACAAGGGCAAAATGGTCAAAAACACACTGAAAAGTCAAACTTTGACTTTTGGATCAAAATCAAGTTTCAGCAATCATATTTCATCAGGACAAGAAATTGGTTCATCAAGAAATCAAAAGTCAGAAATTACTTTGAAAAAAGTCAAATTTCTAAACTTATAAAATTTTCTAAGTGTTAAGAAAATATGATAATTTCAGAACTTCTGAGCTAGTTTTCACAAAAGTGCAATCAAAATTTGCAAAAATGATTCAGAACATGGCTCTTCGATTAGAACATATGGAAGTTGTGTTCTTCTATCAGAACATGACTCTTCAAATTTTATTCTTCAGCATATGAAGACTATGTTCTACTCTTCGATCAAAACATCACCTTTCGAATCTCACTCTGGTCTTTCCACTCTTCGATCAGAACATCACCAAGCCCCAAAATCTCGTTTTGAACAGTCTGCACTACTATGACACAGTCCGGCATCCAACTGCCACAACACTCCAAATTCCTGCTGATCCAGTCCACGCCTGCAATTTTCTCAAACTCCATACTTGCACCAAATTAGCACATAAAGACCGTATTTAAAAAGCAATGGAACAATATGCCAAAATGATTTAAATCCCATTTGTTTTTCCCTCCAAAACCACAACAAATTCATCTATAAATAAATGGTTCCACCACAGGTCTAAGGGGGTTGACTTTTGGGAGGAGAGAGTTATCAAATACAAAAAAGAGAGAAAAGAAAACATTCAAACATTCTTAAACTCAGAATTCTCAAAAATAATACATTTGTTCCTCCCTTTGAAAAAGAACATAACATTTTTGTTCAATTTCTTGCTAACTCCAGAATATTCAAAGGCAGCAGTTCAAGTCCCAAACACACGCTTCAGATTCAAGGTAAGTCATCCTGACTTTGAATTTTTTCATTCAGAACATCATTAAAAATGTAGATATCATAATGTTGAGACTGTATATATTATTGTCCAAGTAGAAAATTTGTGGATCAGAACTTCTTGAAGAAAACTAGGCCCAGAATTAGGAATAGAACTTCTATAAACTGTTGTGCTTTTATTTTTCTATTTTGCTGTTGTTGAGAACTGAATAAGTTGCAGATACTCTGGCTAATGTAAGGAAGGAGGTGAAGTGTAACACAGAACTTCTGAGTTTTCTTTCTCACTGTTTTAACACAACGCGGAACTTCTAGGTCTTTCTCACTATTGTAACACAACACAGAACTTCTAGGTTTTTCTCACTGTTTAACGCAACACATAACTTCTAGGTCTTCCTCATCGTTTTAACACGACATGTAACTTCTAGGTTTTTCTCACTGTTGTAACACAACACAGAACTTCTAGGTTTTTCTCACTGTTTTAACACAACATAGAACTTCTAGGTCTTCCTCATCATTTTAACACGACACAAAACTTCTAGGTTTTTCTTACTGTTTTAACACAACACAGAACTTCTAGATTTTTCTCACTGTTGTAACACAGTATGCAGAACTTCTAGGTCCTTCTCACTGTTGCAACACAATACACAAAATTTCCAGGTTTTTTCTCACTGTTTCAACACTCAGAACTTCAGCGCGCAGCAACTCAGAACTTCTGGTTTCCTCTAACATTTCTTTCTGAACTTCAGCGCACAGTAACTAAGAACTTCTAGTTTCCTTTAACGTTTCTTTCTGAACTACAGCGTGCCTAGCATCAGAACTTCTGGTCCCTCTCAGTTTTGTTTTCAGCAACATGTTGATCTTGTTTTCGTTATTTCTCCTTTTCTTTCTTATTCTTATTATTTTCAGCATTAATACTACTTTTATTAATATAAAAAAGACATAAAAAATATTTTCTTTTTATTAACTAATTATTCTCTTTTAATTTATTAAGACAAAAAACCATTTTTAAAACAAATCCTTTCCATTTTCTTGTATTGTACAATTCAATATGGTTGTAATAGATAATTAGGATTTAAATTCTTGCAATCCCCATTTGTAAATATGTATCCCCACCCCTGAAATGATGTAATAGCTTAGGATTTATTTCTGCAATTTTATTGCTTTCATACATTGTTAGTAATTAGGATGTATGACAAGACAAAATCAACAAGTAGATAACCTTTAAATGCAAGACAAGATGCATGCAATCAAACACACTTGCGCACTAGCGCCTCTAGGGTAATCTCACTTTGTTGCCTTTCAGAAAATAGTCATGTCCCTCGAATATGGGTGTTTTAGCGAAGACCCTCAATAAAAGATCGTAGTCCCTCGATGACCCTCAATGTTGCCTTCGGTAAACGATCTAGTCCCTAAACGATATTGCTAAAACGTCTCATAGGTTTCCTTCTATGACTATACAAAACATTCCGCGCCCGCCCCTTCACATCCAACGATGGGGTTTCTTACTAAAACAACGGTAAGATAACAACATATAAAGGAGGAGGAAAAGAACGTTTAAGACCTTTTGAGTAGGTAGGTTGCTCCTGGTTGCTCGCTTGCTCACAAAAAAAACATTTTATACACCCACAATTTCACTTTGAAACAGTTTCAAAAGTTAAAACACTTTGTACGCGTTCTTATAGAAATGAGAACCATTACAAAGACACCTTTTCAAAATCACTTTCAAAAACACATTCCACAAACACATCTTTGAACTATTTTCAAAACCAACACTTTGTACACATTCTTATAGAAACGAGAACCATTACAAAGACGTTTTAAAAATACTTTCGAAACCCGCACCACAAGTATATTTTCAAATAAAAGAAAGTGATTTAGCAAGCAACTAAGAGTCCGTAGATAACTACGGATGAAAAGGATGATAATACCTTCCCTTTTCATAACCTACCCCCCAAACTCAAAATAATCTTAAAGGTCTTTCCTGTTCTTTTCAACATTTCCTTTTGGATAAAAGAAAATTCGGTGGCGACTCTTACTACCTGCAAACAATTGCGATCAAACGCAAAATACCCAAGTCAGTTCTCCCACCGCGTTACAGAACTGGAGACTCTGCTGGGGACTTTAAAAGTGGGGTTACCTTAGGGCTAGATCACCTTTAATTGATTTTCATTGTTTGATTTGTTTTCTTTATATTATGGTTCTCTGTTTGGGTTTGTTTTGACCCTCTACCCGGATCTGGGGCACCTTTTTAGGTAAGTAGCAATAAGTTGTGGAAACTGTACGGGGTATACCGACATGGTCTAAGAAATAGCTACGTTAGTGTGACACATTTGTTGGTACTGGTAGCCCTTGAGTAGTCAAGGAGAACACGGGGCCGCTGTGTGGTGTCATGAAGAACTAACTGACTTTATAACCTTTACTTGAACAACTTGACCATTAGGAGTAGTGAGATAGCCGAATTTGGTTTTAACCGAAGATTGGTTGATACTCGATACTATGCTTATTAAGATTGGACTTTCGGGATATTTCGGTCGCCATTAAAGAGGCTTGCACTGAAATAACGCCGATGAAGAAAGATAGGTGATATTGAGATTCCCTAGAACCCGGTTACTATTACTAGGACAGGTTGAGCCAACTAAACTTCAAGAGGGTACTTACCTATCAAACTCCATGCAAGCCTAAACATAAAGACTTGTCTGCTTTGTGTGTATATGACTATTTGTACATAACAACTTGCTTACTTTTCATACTTGTACATAACATCATGACATCATACCATAACATTTTCAATAACCATTTAAAGAATCTCAAGGGTCTATGATGCAGGGTCCTGTTGAACCAGACGCCTGTCAAGGGGCAAGAGGATTTATTTTCCTCTAACCAAACGCCGTCAAAGATCAAAGTACAATAACTTGAGTCAAGGGCTATGACCCACTTGACATGGTGAGCTTAATTCTCGTGGAAGGACATCCGCCGATACGAAGTTCTCCAATCAAAGTTGTAAGTAACTTCTGACATCTTCTTGTGTGTCTATCCCGCGAGATCCTTGAAAACATGCATCCACATATCATGCATCATATCATGACAGGTTTCTCCCATACAGTTCTCCTTATCTTCCTACTGTTTATTTCAGTAAGATGGATATGGAACAAACAGTGAAGGATCTCCAAGCACAAAATGCTCAATTCCACCAAATATTCCTAGCTGTAGCTAAGGGGCAAGAGGACCTAAAGACTCTTCTTCTCAAACACAAGAAGAAAAAGTCAAAGAAGTCAGTAGGCGTCCTGAACTTGGGAAGAAGACTTAGAGGACCGGTCAAGAGAACTCTAGATCTCTCAACCGAAGGGGACAATCAGACAAAAGAAGGGGATCACAGTCTGGGGTCTAACAAAGAGGAGGCTGACTACACTAAAGAGCAGTATTCTCCCGCTGATGATAAATACAAACAGTTGGAAGATCACCCCAATGCCATGGAGATTCAGTAGATACCTGGCTTGGACTTTGAAGAGTTAGGTTTGGTTTCCGGAGTGGTCATCCCACCAAAGTTCAAAATCCCTACCTTTTCCAAGTATGATGGGATCTCTTGTCCAAAATGCATCTTAGGTCATATGTCTGCAAGATTCAACCTCACACTACTGACCGAATCTATGGGTCCATTTCTTCCAAGAAAGTTTGGTTGGCACTCAGCTGAAGTGGTTCTATCAGTTAGAAAGAATCGACATTCATACCTGGGAGGACT